TTCGATGTGTCGGAAAATTAGTATTTGCATTTATGACATACATACAACTGAGGAGAGTTTAAACCTTTTTAATTAAAAACGATTTTTAGCAAACGTTAGCAAACAATGCCTCTTAGTTTGAGGCTGAGGATTGCTGAGCTGATCCATAGGCGAGATATGTTAAGACCTATTATTCGGGCTTAGTCCAATTTAGTAACTAAACGAACATATGGGCCTGTATATCTTCAAAGAAAACTTGATGGCGGTCGCTACATACACGGCCGAGTCATAATTTGAAGTTGCAAGAATCTACAGCTTTCACTACGCATGTGCCAACCGCTTCTTAAGTACATACGCTCTGATGTACTGTTTGCAAGGATGTCAGCCACTAAAATGCCTGACTATATAAACAGGCCGAGGTCCTCGATGCTCATTAAAATGCGTCTCAACGACTTCCTTCACAGGCTTAAGACGAGTATAGATAACAAAACAACAGTTTTGTTCAGAAAAAGGAGAGAAAGACATTTACTGTCTTAGAACACATTTTCAGGAATATTAGTGGAAAGCAACCCTAGTAGCAAGGCGCTATCGCGGCGATATCACCTCGTTAAATTGAAAAGTCAAAGGAGATCCCGCAAATTTGGTTTTCTTCGCGTAAAAATCTAAGTAAACTGGGCTTGAGCAGGAAATATTCTAAGCCATTATGTTGGTTGGCTAAGTGGACTCAGATAATGCCAGTCAAAGTACTGTCGAGTTAACGCGACCGGGCAACTGCGGGTTACAACCCTTGCATAACTTAGTTGCCTAGGCGGCAACACTATAGAAGACTTCGTAAAAAGAACTCTTTTTCGGCGGTTTTCCAGGACGATATTAGCCTGTACACTAACTTTAAAGGTCGTAAATCGAAAATTGGCCTACATTAATCAAAGTTTTACGACGTGATTATGGGTATGTCTCTTATTACCTACTTGACTGTAATTACTTATAGGTCTTTGGAAGGTGGAATGCTGACAGCAAGTGGAAACTGTCGGACCTCGACGGCGGCCTGGTCCGTCGACTGAAAGTTCTCTTCGATACGAAAAAACAAAAAAATAACAAACCCACTGGCAAGTCCACTAACAATGTCTTAAAGTACGGCTGGCTTGTAGACGCGACTGCCGGGTGCTGGAGATGGGACAAGGGAATTAACAGTTGCATTAAGCAAGCGCCGTTGTACACGTTTTTTCGTCTCTGTCGTATGTTTAACTGTTTTAATAGTAATAAAAGGTTTCCGACTTAACGTTACTACAAATTTACGGGAGTTAAACGTAATGAATGGGTCGTTCGTTAAGAAAAGGGATCTACTGCCAAGTGTAAACCGCCGTTATCGTCGATCTCTCTGTAAATAGATATTCAATAGATATCTATATTGCGGTCCAAGATAGCCATAGACGTAAAATACTACTAGGGTAAAAAAAGACTGCAGTAGACAAGGGCAAGGTTTGGAATAACCTTGGAATATCTATGCTTTTGTGGAAAATGTACAGTCGAAGAAACAAGGTCACTATGAGTCGGTCTGTTCGGTTAAAATGTCCTGTAAACTCGATTCATACTGCTCGAGAATCGGCTGATAATACTTAGGGTATTTGCCCATGCATGTGGTCAGTTCATTGTAATATTTCTCAAAAGACGTCCTGGCTTCTTCGTTGGGTCCATCTTCTGTGGCACTCATGAAACGTTCCATGTTCGACAGAAATTTGCGGAAGAAATACCCACAAGGGCCAGTTACGTAGCTACTAACGCAACTACAGTGCCAGTTAAATTTACCGTCGGCGGTTTTAAAGCCTGGTTTTGACATTTTGCGATCAATGTCATAGTAGTCTTCAAGATTTAGCGGACTCCGTGCTTCCTCTTTGGATAAGATGCAGACTCTATGCTGTTCCATGTTCAAAGGGAAATAATATTATTTACAATTTAGATATCTGAATTGTAAAACTATCTGCAAAACTGCGTGTAAAGCCTAAAGACCACCGTTTGATAGTTACAAGCACCCTGCACCAATAAGTCAAATCTTTACACCTTAGTTCAGTTAGTTGAAGGAAAAGGGCATAAGCCCTAATTGTAACGTAAAATTAAGTGTGGTATGCGGATAAACCATGTTAGTTTTAATATTTCCAAGAGGACCATATGGCAGGTTGCCGTGATTCTCAAGGGTTAAGTTAAATCCCTCAACGATCCGGCTTAGATTTGGACTTAAAACTGTCATGGTTTCTTTTAAAGGTTTCAAGTGATTCCGACATGACCAGTCTGCGGGTTATGCATTCGATGGTTTGACCACAAAGCATGGCCCCAGCCAATAGGAACGTCAAACGAGGTACCCAGCGAGTCGCCCGTCAGCTTGGATTACCTACCGAAAAAATATGAAATAAGCAAAACCGAGCCAACTTAGCTGTATCTTGGACACTATATCGGAATTTCAAAACAAGAGTAGAACGATGAAAGATGGGCTTTTCCCTATTTTTAAAAACTGACAATAGCTTCTAATGCTTGTGGACAGATATTGTAGCACGATACATCGACAATCAACCACATGCCGCTTAAATATTAAATGAAATAAAACATTAAGTTAACTTAAGCTTTAACTGAAATTAAACTTATAAACTAAAAACTAAAGTTAAACTAAGAAAATTAAAATTAATCGCGTGAATATCAAGATATTCCTGATGTCCCTGTAGTAATAAGCATAACTACGTATACCGAACTCAATATTTTAAATGGCATTGTCTAACGTTGCAGGACAACTAGTCTGTTACCAAATGTACGCTAGACTTAGTCTGGAATATTGCTCGTTTTTATTTGGCCTACTGCGCACTAGCGAACGGAAGAAAATGGAATCGGTCCAGCACTTCTTTACTAAAAGACTTTCTCGTCAGAA